CCCATAAGGTATTTCTCTATTGTTGGTGGGTGTACATTGAAAAATACCCCTGTTTCACTACCATAGAGACTAGTATGACAGTTTGTCAAAAAAACTGCTACCTTGTTCATGGACAGAAGGAATATTTTTTGGTTTTTCTTGTAGTACAAAAATGCAAATAGCGACAACACTTTTCCAAAGGCCCACTCCACACAGATGCGTACTGCAGACATTCGTTTGTTAAAAATCCTCTGATTCCGGGAGATAACACCTCCTCTGAATGGTGCTGTTATATATCCATCAGTCACGGGATATGCTGGATCACCATAAATACAAAATATTCTTCCCTGTGGATTTGTCATGTGGACTCGCATTTGTGCTAACATACTTGTACGTGTATGTGTAAAAGCCACAATGCAACGTCAATTTTAATTGGCGGAAAGCAAATTAATATTGCTAATAAATGTCTAATAAGTATTCGGCTGTTTTCTGCTGTTTGGTCGGGTTGTTGTCTCTTTGACACATTCCCCGTTTCCATTCTCAATTTCATTTACATGTAGTATTACCATTAAAGAGTTTTAATGTCCATGGTTGCACATATTTCAATCTGTCTAAGGGCAATAACTCTTTTCATAAAATATACATTTGTGTACTACAGAAATATAGACATGAGATTGCTAACAAAGTTATTTTCTATATAATTTCTATTTTTCAAGGGGAATAACTCCTGTAAAAATAATTGGTCGACACTGTTCCAAGACCTTTTTAGTATAAACCTTTGAACTGAATTTTTTAATAAAAATCCGACAGAAATGAAGACGTGAGAGTACTTACAATGCAATTTCAATCTAAATTATATATCCGATGACATAACTTCTTTAAAAATCAGCGCTGGTTTTCGAACTCTTCCTCAACATTGCTGATATAAACCTTTGATGTTCATCCTAAAAATCCTACAAAAAATATATGTGAGAGAGTGCTTACAATGCAATTTTCCATATGATTTACTTGGGGCACAACTCCTTTAAGAATAGTTGATTAGCACTGATTTTAATATCAACCTTTGAAAATCTGGCAATAATTCTACACTTGAGAGTGCTTACAATGCAATTTCCAACAAAATTTACATTTCCAAGGGACATTATTCGATCAGCGCTGATTTTCGAGCTCGTCCAAAATATTGCTGATACGAAGCTTGATTTAATTTCATAACATTCCTTCAACAAATGTACGCTTGACGGCGTTAACAATGCAATTTTCCATATAATTCATATTTCCAAGGAACGTAACTCCTTTACAAATAGTTTTTTTTTGGCGCTGATTTTCGAACATTGATGGTATAAACCTATGATATAAATTTCATTTGTCATCATGACTGAAATGTGCTCTTCCTTCTTGGGGTAAGGGGAGAAGTGAATTCTAGCTAGAAATGGCAATTTATTATATGCTATACTTTACAACAAAAGAAAGATAACCATAAGTGAACTTAACAGCAATGGAAAATCAAAGTACTGAAGTACTGAACATCGGATGACCGCACTGGTGGATGGTCACAAGCACTTGTCTCAGAAAAAAAATCACATCTCTATACCTGAAAGTAAGGTTAATAGATATATTTTTTTACTGAGACTAGTTCCTGTATGGATGATGAATAAATGACAGGGAATTCAACCTCACCGTAATAACTATTATATTGTAGTGATATAATCATTTTTTATCAGTATACTCTGGTTTGTTGTTATATATTATATTAATATTCGTATAACAGTTATATATAATTTTCATCCATCATTTGTATATCATTCTATTCTACTATTCTAATGATAGTGCAGTGCAAGTGCATGGTGGACACTCTTCTGTAATAATTCTTTTTTCTAATAGATTGGATTTGAGTAGGCATTCATATTTTCCCGCGTTTGTTGCAAAACGTTCTTGAGATATTCTTCCGCATGCGTTAACACAAATTTTCGGTATTCTTGATTTGTTATTGATATATATCTTTCTCACGACAAAACATTTTCATATCATTTATCTATGTTCTTAAAAATTATTTTCATGAATATTTATTGATGAAATTAATATATAACAAGCGATAAGGAATGTTATTTTGCACTCGATAATATCCGTGTAATTATACGAAATACGTTCGGTTATCAGTCAAAAACGCAAGTCACGTGGGTAGAAATGTCTGTGACAACATAACACCGGAATCCCCTCACGGTTATCCGCTGTAAAAATGATATGAAATAAAAACTGCCTTTTATTCCCATAGTATTCAGAATAAAAAGTATTTTAGTTTCCTATTATAAGGAATGAATTATCAAGCATATGAATCTACTGTTATTGCAAACTATGCTATGGTCTATGCACGTAACCGACTTTTTATCATATTAAACATTAGAAGCTAAACCTTTAAAAAAAATGCACAAAACTTACAAGTAAGTTTAGATTATAATGTGTTACAATTGCGCTTTTGAAGATACCCGATGATGCTCAACTTTAGACGACGGATTTTTAATGGTTCTTGAGCACATGCTCAATTTCGAATTTTCGTGCACAAACAATTGTTGTGTCAGTGTTTTGTGGAATAAAGTGTAAAACATTTCTTAAATTTCTTATTAACGAGACAACAATTTTTATTTTAAGGACAGACCCCCTTTCACGCAGTCTTGCGCGAATCAAAATGAGTCTATGCTTACAGAGATCTGAGGTCTAGAGTTGCACATAACTTTGCTAGGGGATACTGCAGACAAGACAGAACATTATTCTATTTTTGTGGTGAAGTGGTCATCGGAAATCGATTCATTCAATTGCTTATTCTAGCGACGATACAGAATCCATACATCAAATCTCACTGAGCCTCTGGTATCAAGATCGACCGAATAAAATATCGCTTTTTGATGAATCTATTTCATAATTAAAAACAAATGACGAAAATAATGCAAATTGCTCCTGAACTGTTATATCAGTGGTAATATGGCACTCCAATGTCCAACTGAGGAACAATAGAGTGTGTTCATGAACTATGGCGAGGTTTGAAAAGATGAATAATTGTATACCTTCCAACATTCTCAAAAGATAATAACAAAATTAAGAATGGAAACGGGGAATGTGGCAAAGAAACAACAATCCAACCAAATAGCAGAAAACAAAACAGCCCAAGGCCACCAATGGGTCTTCAACACAGCGAGAAATTCCCGGACCTGGAGGCGAGCTTCAGCTGGCCCCTAAACAATAATGTATACTAAATCAGCGAAAATGGACGTTGAACTAAACTCCGAAACATAGGAATGAACCAAAATTAAAAAACATACAAGACTAACAAAGGTCGTAGGTTCATGACTTGGGACAGGCACAATAATGCGACGGGATTAAATATGTTTTGTGAGATCTCAACCCTCCCCAATCCTCTAGCCAATATGGATTAGGAATAAACAAACATACAGCAATACGCACAGTAAAACTCAGTTTAAAAGGAGTCCGAGTCCAATGTTAGAAAAGGTAACAGAAGAAACTAAGTAAAATGACAATGATCAACAGAAATTAACAACGGACTACTAGCAGTTACTGACATGCCAGCTCCAGACCTCAATTAAACTGATAGAAAGATTATCTCTTCTTCATATGAAAATCAAGCACAATACCTCCCGTTAAGGGTTTAGTATCATATCATCATAAAATATATATTATAGGAAATAAACTCATCATAGATATCAGGATTAAAATTTTGTATGCCAGACACGCGTTTCGTCTACAAAATACTCATCAGTGACGATTGAATCAAAATAGTTAAAAAGGCCAAATAAACTACGAAGTTAAAGAGCATTCAGGACCCAAAATTCCGAAAGAAAAGATTATACCAGTTTCCATTCATCAAATTCCCTAGCGGTTTTACTCCTTTTCACAGGTCGGAATGTGTAACTTAAAGCGTGAATACTTCATTGTCGGGTCTCTTTTCTTTGTCTGCATTATTATAGTATGGCAAGTACGGTGTAAAGCAAACGTTAATCAAGAAATCAATCGTATAAGGTAAAGTTTAAGGACTATTTCAGAGGCAGTAAAAGAAGAATGATTTTACATTAGCATCATCTACCAACAATATTTAATATCTATATTAATAGTTGGTTAAGGGTTAACTTAACTAAAGAGTAAATATCGTACAACCCCGCTTTAATTGGAGTTCATATTGCCTATGCTCAATAAAAAAAATAAGGAGATGTGGTATGGCTGTCAATGAGACGACTATCCACCAGAGATCAAATGAAGTATATTTTAGCAATAATCGGCAACCGTATGGCCCAAACAATGAGAAAAACCCTTACCATAAAGTCAAGTTCGTTTGTTAACATCCCAAGATTGCAACTTCCTGAGGTAAAGTAAACCAGTTTGGTTAAGATAAGATCTTTCACTTTGCTGCGTTAGATTTGTATGTCGCTCGTGTAAAACACAATTGCAAAGTTAACCTTCGTCAATTCCATACAAAAAACCTTTTATCTTAGTCGTTTGTAAGTGTACTGTCAACGGTTGTATCGGTTTCTATCCCAAGGACCGTTCCCTACATATAGAATATTAGAGTATTTTACAGCAACTCTTATATATGTGCTTCGGAAAGCTAATAAAATCTTGCTGAACTTTCGACATGATACTCCTAGCTAAAACGTCAGAGAAAAGTAACATCCGGCCTCCTCAACGAAGAAGGAAGGACGAATCGAGATTGATGATATCGTAATACATGTTGTAATAACACACAAATCATGATTTTGATTGTATATTTTACATATTGTGTTTTTTAATCGATCTGGTTAAAAATATTCACCGACCCAAATACGTTAAAGCAAAACGCGCAAGGCTTGTTATCAATTTCCAAAAGTGTAAAATTTACAGTTCTAACAACCAATTGCCTCATGTTGTTCACAGTCTATATCGTTATCGATCAATTTATGTAAGGTTATATTTACATTCACTGTTATCTTGAAATTCGACAGTAAATCACAAAAATATCAGGACTTCCGGGATGACGTGAGACACTTTGTTTTTGTTTAATTCGGATCAGGATAACCGCCTATAAATTTCATTCTACAAGAAAACTAATTTGGAGATGATGAGATGGCACGCAGGCGGGAAAAATCGGAAATTAATCCAATCGTTAAATACTTATTGTTCTCTCTAAATTTCGTTTTCTGGGTAAGAGTAATTTATCAACTATTTGTATTATTAGTATTATAGGTTCAATAGTACCAGGTTACACAGTTATGTAAATGATCATACTGTCGAGACAAAATATATATATATATATATATCTAAAGCAAGCCTAAAATTGTTGTTCTTACAGAGACTAATAGTCGGTATTGGGTAGTGTTTTTGATATAATACCCTCAAAATGAAAGCAAGTTGAGCATAAGGCGTTAATGCAGAAATATGAAACCAATAATACATCATGATAAAAACATTTGTCAGAGTGAAATTTCATTTGCCAGTCATCTCGTTTTACTACATTTATTGAGCCCTCTTGAGCGGTCTAAGACCTGCCTCCAATTTATTAATGAGTCTCATAAAAAAACAATTAGTCAAATGTCTAGGACATACAATCAGGCTAAAATATGAAACAGGTCTTCAATCTTGCCAAATTTAATAAAGTGGAGAAATAACGAAGAGTTGAACTTTGTCATGTCGGGTCCTTTTAAAGCAGACTATGCGCGTCATTTGGACTCTGTTGGATATTTGTCTCCTTGGCTGTCAATCCTACCACATCTCCTTATTCTATGTCTAAATCTGTCCCATTAGAGACACCAGTCTACGCTAGAGTCAACAGTTAATTTAGAAGTGTCTTCAACATTTCTATGTTGACATGAATCATTGAATGGTCAAACTTATAAGTTAACTGTTTACAAAACTTTTAATTTTTCAAATAGTAATGATGTTCTTCCCAGGAATGGATTACTTTAGCTGTATTTTGCAAAACCTTTCCGTAAATTCGGACTGCTTGATCCTCTATGCTCTTCAACTTCGGACTTTATTTTGGGCTATTTAACTTCTTTGATTCGAGCGTCACTGACGAGTCTTTTGTAGACGAAACGCGTGTCTGGCGTACACAATTTTAAGCCTGGTATTTGTGATGAATTACTTGATCTGTTGTTTGATGTGCATTAACAAGAAATATGTTATTTTTGTCTCGATGTTTTCTCGTACATCTCACTCAATCATAATCATTAGAGGAAGGTAATGCTAATAAATTAAACAAAGGTGAACAAAAACTAGATATTTGTAAAAACAATTAGTAATTAAGAGCAACATGTACATGTATTGTAAAATGATGACTATAACGTTCAATAAAGGGCAATCGAATTTAATAAAGAAAATTATATACTAGTACACAGAATAGGATGCTTGATTAATTGGCAAGATAAAATAAAAATCGTCTGTTGCGTCATGATCCTCGCTTTAAAATTAATCCAACAACGCATAGTTAGGACAATGGACAGCCAAAAATTATCTTATTGGGGATGTTAAAAAAAATGACTCGATTTTCATTTTTATACAAGAGATCTGTATTTCCTTCTTCTCAATTGTATATTTATATTTTGATTTTTTTAGATTCTTGGTCTCGCCTTTACAATTCTTGGAACGTACATTCTTATTCTGAAACATAAAGTTGTGAAAGATACGTTTGATTTCTTCTTGGATCCGTCCACTATTATGTGTACTGCGGGAGCAGTCATTGTATTTGTAGCATTCTTTGGTTGTATGGGTGCTTTGAGAGAGAATACATGTTTTTTACAGTTTGTAAGTAACTTAATTATGTATACAAGAAGAAAACACACCAGTTTTATAACAAAAACTGCAATAAAACTTTGACATTAACATCAGTTTAAATAGTTTGAAACCACGATGAAAATAGTAAGTTAATAATTTGAAAATATACTCGTTAAGTGTGAACAGTATAAAAATCATCCAAAAAAGATTCCATTCAAATCAAAATGAAAACCAATACTTTAAAACTGTTTACGTTTGCACCGGTAAAATATGTTTGAATGGTTTGAAACCATGTCAAATAGATTACAGATGAAATTGTTATCTTCTTAAAGTTTGAATAAAAAGAGATTCGAAGCATACGTCCATGCCGAGACAACAAGCTAACGACACAAATTACCAAATTATATCCCAAAATGACTACATAGTGTCTTCAACCATTGGTGGGTGTCTACGAAAATAACATTAAGATATGAGACAATATACAATATGACTAAAAGACATTGACATTTTTAAATCAAGACCATTTCGAAAAGGTAGACCAAAAAATCAATGTAGTCATAAATACAAAACATAAGAACAGTGTATTGAAAATAACCATAAAGCGATTATTTATTGTGTGCAATTCAAACTATCAGGTACTGAACTTCAAATTTATTTATTTTTTATTGTTTATTTCAGTTTAACTATTTGGTAACATTCATGTTCGTTGGAGAAATTGTCTTTGTGATATTTGTGTTTGTATTTTATTTTGTACCGGATGCTCGAGAACAACTTGGTTTATTTCCTGAAAAGTCTATGCATGAGGCAATTATAAAATATGGTGTAGTAGACGATGATGATATGGTCAACTTCATAGATAATATACAGCAAACGGTTAGTTCTTCTCTGCTTTCTTGATAGTAGACATTGATAAATGTAAGCAGTGTTTACACTTTGCCCCTGAAATTGGTCAAGTTAGACGGATTCTCATTCGAATGAGCTTTGAACTGACAGTCGACTAAAGTAAGTTGTGACTGAAGTATGTTTGTTAATTTTTAATTTAGACTTTCCATACAACAAAGTAAGTTTAAGCCTTTTGCCCGGCCTTAGAGTGTATAATGTCAATTTGTTGTCTGTCCATCTACTAATTTGTCTGCCCATCTATCGATCTGTATGTCCATCTATTAATTTGTCTGCCCATCTATCGATTTGTCTGTCCATCTATTAATTTGTATGCCAATCTATCGATTTGTCTGTCCATCTATTAATTTGTCTGTCCATCTTTTAATTTGTCTGTCCATCTATCAATTTGTCTGTACATCTATTAATTTGTCTGTCCATCTATTCTTTTGACTATCTCGTAATCAGGTTAAAGTTTTGATTTAAGCTAGTTTACCATGAATTTTTGGTCACCTCAACTTGAAAATTGTTACACGTTATGATGTAAACGTTTTTGAATATATGCAAAACTAGGATTTCAACTTATAATTCACAGTTCACATTACATGGAAATGTGATAGTGTAAGCAAGGCATGGTGTTATATGGAAACATAGTCTTTTTTTTTTGTGTTAATTTTGAAAGGAACTAGAGGTTCTAAAGAGCCTGTGTCAACCTTGGTCTATGTTCATATTCAACAAAGGACACTCTCCAACATTGAAGACATGAATAGAATTCATGAGAAAAATCTCTGTTTTGTTGATCTTGTATTGCTGATCATTTAGCTGTTTAGTTTCTCTCTATCTTCTTTAGTTTTTGCTCAAAACACAAAAGGGGGTTAAAACAATCCTTATTTAAGAGGCTGGGCAATCACTCCTATAAAGAGTGACAGCCTACTACCTTTATCAGCAAAATGTGACTTGTTAGTAGATCGGACGATTTCCTCTTTATTGTCTTAATTGTAGCTATTGTTTTGCTGATCATTTTTGCCTGTTTAAGTTTCTATCTATCTATTATAATTTTTAAGAAATAGGGCAAAAACGCAAAATATTGTAAAAATCATCATCAAAGGGCAATTACTCTCATAAAGAGTAGGCTGACGATTTTGACAAAGAAACTTATTTGTAGAACTTATCTTGCTGATCATTTTTGCAATTTAATGTTTCTATGTATCTATTATAGTTTTCAAGATAATAGGCAAAAATGAAAAAAGGTAAAATATAGGGCAATAATTCCTATAAGAAGTCGTCTGACAATTTTGACGTAAATAGACAGTTGGTAGAGCTCAAATGTTCTATTTTTAGCCATGTCGGCCATGTTGGTTGGCAGGCGGGGTCATCGGACACATCTTTTAAACAAGATATCCTAATGATAATTGTGGCCAAGTTTGGTTAAATTTGTCTCAGTAGTTTTAGAGGAGAAGATTTTTGTAAAAGATAACAGAAATTGACGAAAAAATGTGAAAAATTTAATTTAAAGGGCAATAACGCCTTATGGGGTCAATTGACAATTTTGGTCATGTTTGACTTATTTGTAGATCTTACTTTGCTGAACATGCTGTTTACAGTTTATCTCTATCTATAATAATATTCAAGATAACCAAAAACTGCAAAACTTCCTAAAATTACCAATTCAGGGGCAGCAACCCAACTACGGGTTGTCTAATTTGTCTGAAAATTTCAGGGCAGATAAATCTAAACCTGATGAACATTTTTAATCCATGTCAGATTTGCTCTAAATGCTTTAGTTTCAGAGATATAAGCCAAAATCTGCATTTTACCCCTATGTTCTATTTTTAACCATGTCAGCCATGTTGGTTGGTAAGCGGGGTCATCGAACACATTTTTTAAACTAGATACCCTTATGATGATTGTGGCCAAGTTTGGTTAAATTTGTCTCAGTAGTTTCAGAGGAGAAGATTTTTGTAAAAGATTACAAAAATTTACAAAAAATTGTTAAAAATTGACTACAAAGGGCAATAACTCCTTAAGGGGCCAATTGACCACTTGGTCATGTTGACATATTTGTAGATCTTACTTTGCTGTACATTATTGCTGTTAACAGTTTATCTCTATCTATAATGATATTCAAGATAATAACCAAAAACTGCAAAATTTTCTTAAAATTACCAATTCAGGGGCATCAACCTAACAACAGGTTGTCTGATTTGTCTGAAAATTTCAGGGCAGATAGATATTGACATGATAAACAATTTTAACCCATTTCAGATTTCCTCTAAATGCTTTGGTTTCAGAGATACAAGCCAAAATCTACATTTTACCCCTATGTTTTATTTTTAGCCATGGCGGCCATCTTGGTTGGTGGGCAGGGTCATCGGACACATTTTTAAAACTAGATACCACAATGATGATTTTGGCCAAGTTTGGTTAAATTTGGCCCAGTAGTTTCAGAGCAGAAGATTTTTGTAAAAGTTAACGGACGACGGACGCCAGGTGATGAGAAAAGCTCACTTGGCCCTTTTGGGCCAGGTGAGCAAAAAATGCTGAAAATGTGTAGTTCTCTAGTAAAGAAATGCTAAACATTATTACCATGAATTCATGTACATGTATTCTCAAACTGTAATTTAAAATAATGCCTTCTTGCTCAACGTGTAGTGGCAATAATGAATTATTATATCATAAATACCTTTTGAACTTTTACTTGTAGTTGAAATGTTGTGGACTTGGAGACAAGGAAGACGGATTCCTTGACTGGAACGACAACATGTATTACAATTGTACCACTACCAGTAAATCTCCAGAAAGATGTTCCGTTCCAGCATCGTGTTGTAAGATCAAAGCGGTATGTACAGTTATAAATAGTATAAAGTGACTGATTTACAAACGCGACCATTGCAAACAGAAAAAAACGAGAATATGTCAAATTTCTTCGAGTACGTTAAAAATCTCGAAAATAAATAGCCTCGACGTCGACAAGAGAGGGATATAAGTGAACATAACTTGGTTAACAATATTGATACATGTATAAGATATTTCTCGGTTAGACAATATTGTAGGAACTATTAAAATTCGGACATCAAAATGAAATGTTAAAGCGACTGTATAAGATAGTTAAGTTTTTAGAAATATGTATGATTGCATATCGAACACTTACTATTATAATAGATTATCAGATATTTATTTCGGTAGCATTTTGTATTTCAATTCTGAAAAAATCATATTGTTGGTTGATAAGAGAGATCCATCAGACATATTTCATCGTGATTCCAAAATATGTATAAACTTTGTTCAAAAACCATCAGTATACGGCAACGTCTAAGTTAATTAAATGACTCTCTGTTGCATTTGTCATATTACAATGTTTGCAAATCAATCAACTCTTGAAAAAAATATTTAAACAGTCACTGTGTAATTTCATCTTGGTTGCCTAATTTGCCAAAAAGAGTGTTACATCGTGCTTTTTTCTGAAGTTATTTGTGATGTTTCAGTATTTTTAGAAAAAAGATAGGTAATTTGATGAGTATAAAATCATTAACAAAAATCCCACCAAAACGACTAGCTGTATAATGTTTAAGGCTACTATTGGTAACAATTAAAAATAATATGCCTAACTTAATATGTAATTGAAATTAAAAATTTTGTAATTTTATTTAGGGTGATATTAGGAATATATTGTGTGGAAAAAATGTCATGGATCCAAAGGTAAGTCTAATATATTTTTTCTTCGTAGCTGAAATGTTAAAAAATTGTAAAGTTAAAGGTCATCTGATTGACATAGCTTGAAACGTTGAATAATTGTTAAGTTAAAGGTTATCTGATTGACATAGTCTGAAACTTTAAATAATTGTAAGGTTAAAGGTTATCTGATTGACATAGTCTGAAACGTTGAATAATTGTACCAAGTGTATCTGATGGATATAGTCAGAAACGTTGAATAATTGTACCAAGTGTATCTGATGGATATAGTCAGAAACGTTGAATAATTGTACCAAGTGTATCTGATTGACATAGTCTGAAACGTTGAATAATTGTACCAAGTGTATCTGATTGACATAGTCTGAAACGTTGAATAATTGTACCAAGTGTATCTGATTTGATATAGTCTGAAACGTTGAATAATTGTACCAAGTGTATCTGATTGATATAGTCTGAAACGTTGAATAATTGTTCCGAGTGTATCTGATTGACATAGTCTGAAACGTTAGATAATTGTACCAAGTGTATCTGATTTGATATAGTCTGAAACGTTGAATAATTGTACCAAGTGTATCTGATTGATATAGTCTGAAACGTTGAATAATTGTACCAAGTGTATCTGATTGACATAGTCTGAAACGTTAGATAATTGTACCAAGTGTATCTGATTGACATAGTCAGAAACGTTGAATAATTGTTAAGTTAAAGGTTATCTGATTGACATAGTCTAAAACGTTAAATAATTGTTAAGTTAAAGGTTATCTGATTGACATAGTCTTAAACGTTAAATAATTGTTAAGTTAAAGGTTATCTGATTGACATAGTCTGAAACGTTAAATAATTGTTAAGTTAAAGGTTATCTAATTGACATAGTCTGAAACGTTGAATAATTGTACCAAGTGTATCTGATTGACATAGTATGAAACGTTGAATAATTGTACCAAGTGTATCTGATTGACATAGTCTGAAACATTGAAAAATTGTACCAAGTGAATCTGATTTGATATAGTCTGAAACGTTGAATAATTGTTAAGTTAAAGGTTATCTGATTGAAATAGTCTTAAACGTTGAACAATTGTAAAGTTAAAGGTTATCTAGTTAACATAGTCCGAAACGTTGAATAATTGTACCAAGTGTATCTGAATGACATAGTAAAAAAACGTTGAATAACTGTACCAAAATGTATCTGATTGACATAGTATGAAACGTTGAATAATTGTACCAAGTGTATCTGATTGACATAGTCAGAAACGTTGAATAATTGTACCAAGTGTATCTGATTGACATAGTCTGAAACGTTGAATAATTGTACCAAGTGTATCTGATGGACATAGTCAGAAACGTTGAATAATTGTACCAAGTGTATATGATGGACATAGTCTGAAACGTTGAATAATTGTACCAAGTGTATATGATGGACATAGTCTGAAACGTTGAATAATTGTACCAAGTGTATCTGATTGACATTGTCTAAAACGTTGAATATTTGTACCAAGTGTATTTGATTGACATAGTCTGAAACGTTAAATAATTGTACCAAGTGTATCTGATTGACATAGTCTGAAACGTTGAATAATTGTACCAAGTGTATCTGATGGACATAGTCAGAAACGTTGAATAATTGTACCAAGTGTATCTGAATGACATAGTAAAAAAACGTTGAATAACTGTACCAAAATGTATCTGATTGACATAGTATGAAACGTTGAATAATTGTACCAAGTGTATCTGATTGACATAGTCAGAAACGTTGAATAATTGTACCAAGTGTATCTGATTGACATAGTCTGAAACGTTGAATAATTGTACCAAGTGTATCTGATGGACATAGTCAGAAACGTTGAATAATTGTACCAAGTGTATATGATGGACATAGTCTGAAACGTTGAATAATTGTACCAAGTGTATATGATGGACATAGTCTGAAACGTTGAATAATTGTACCAAGTGTATCTGATTGACATTGTCTAAAACGTTGAATATTTGTACCAAGTGTATTTGATTGACATAGTCTGAAACGTTGAATAATTGTACCAAGTGTATCTGATGGACATAGTCTGAAACGTTAAATAATTGTACCAAGTGTATCTGATGGACAAAGTCTGAAACGTTGAATAATTGCAGCAAGTGTATCTGATTTGATATGGTCTGAAACGTTGAATTATTGTACCAAGTGTATCTGATTTGCTATAGTCTGAAACGTTGAATAATTGTACCAAGTCTATCTGAAGGACATAGTCGGAAACGTTGAATAATTGTACCGTGTATCTGATTGACATAGTCTGAAACGTTAGATAATTGTACCAAGTGTATATGATTTGATATAGTCTGATACGTTGAATAATTGTACCAAGTGTATCTGATTTGATATGGTCTGAAACGTTGAATAATTGTACAGTGTATCTGATGGACATAGTCTGAAACGTTGAATAATTGTACCAAGTGTATCTGATTGACATAGTCTGAAACGTTAAATAAGTGTACCAAGTGTATCTGATTTGATATAGTCTGAAACGTTGAATAATTGTTCCGAGTGTATCTGATTTGATATAGTCTGAAACGTTGATTGTACCAAGTGTATCTGATTTGATATTGTCTGAAACGTTGAATAATTGTACCAAGTGTATCTGATTTGATATTGTCTGAAACGTTGAATAATTGTACCAAGTGTATCTGATTTGATATAGTCTGAAACGTTGAATAATTGTACCAAGTGTATCTGATTTGATATAGTCTGAAACGTTGAATAATTGTTCCGAGTGTATCTGATTTGATATAGTCTGAAACGTTGATTGTACCAAGTGTATCTGATTTGATATTGTCTGAAACGTTGAATAATTGTACCAAGTGTATCTGATTTGATATAGTCTGAAACGTTGAATATTTGTACCAAGTGAATCTGATTGGCATAGTCTGAAACGTTGAATAATTGTACCAAGTGTATCTGATTGACATAGTCGGAAACGTTGAATAATTGTACCAAGGTTATCTGATTGACATAGTCTGAAACGTTGAATAATTGTACCAGGGTTTCTGATTGACATAGTATAAAACGTTGAATAATTGTACCAAATGTATCTGATTGACATAGTCAACTTGCAACTTTTGTCCAACCTATAACAAGTTGCAGAATATACCAAGAATCAAAAGAAAGACAAAACCATGGTAAAAAGAGACGGAAAAATTTTCAACAACATTACACATAACCCTACAGAAAAAGCTAAAGATTGAAACAAACTTAAGATTCAGCAACATGAAACCTAGGTCATCATGAAGGGCCAGCAGCTCCTGCTCTGTTAGTGACAATTGGCGTGGTGTAATAGGTTCCGGAGTTTTCAACAAACGCTTCAAAAGCAAAAATTAATATGTTAAAAGTTAAAAATAATGCGTATAATCATATATATTTCTTATTCATATATACGCTTTTGAACAATATAATCAAATTATTTAAATATTATTTCAGCCAGATGGTTCTGTTTCCCCTGGAGCAAATGTGGATAAGATTTACACAGTTGGTTGTCTGAAGGCTCTTGGCAACTGGATTAATTCTAATGCTTTAGTAGCAGGTGGTGTTTTGTTAGGAATTCTGGTACCTCAGGTTAGGAATAGCAAAGGATGAATGCACGTGATATAAACCAACTTCGTTAAAAATAAAATATTCTTCAAAAGCAATAGCGAAGGGAGTGCAAATAAAAGCACTTGAAAACAATCATTAATATGGTCGGTCGGTCGAATGAATTTCATAATCTCTTATTTCCTTGATAATCAAACTGTTATCATACTTTGATTTACTGTATCAGTGTTTGACAAAATATACAAACACAATTTAGCAATTTCAATGACGGATCCAGGTTTTTTAATAAAGTAGCTTACTTTTTTCAAGAAATGTTACGAGTCAAGATTCAATATATTTATATAAAGAGATAAAATGAAAGTAATGAGAAAAACACCTGAAACAGGATTTGTATCCGCTTTCTTTTAATTGACATAAAAGAGTTCCTTCTTCATCAGCCTCCCATCCCTTATTGTGTTGTCTTTTTATATTTACTTTCAATAGATTATAATACATGTTGACATCAAATCGCGTAGGGTATCACTTTTATTTGGGAATTCATATATAAAATTAAGTGATCCCTCTAACGCGAAATCATTACCAATATTTTTCTAAGGAATATATAGAAATGGTTAACTCTTATGACTGTTTCAACAAAACGAACGGTGCCAAATGACAGCTTTTAGATTTAACTAAAACAAAAGTTTTTTTTTTTTTTTGTTTTTTTTTTTTTTTAATTAATCTTTTTTGACATTAACTCTGAAAAAAAACTTTTCTTAAAAGTATTTTACATGTCCATGTAAAACCTTTGACAACATTCTTGATAACACAAGTGTCATTGATTAAGTTCTCAAAATTATATAACAGATGACGTGGGTATAATTGTGTAACAAATGTTATAAAATATTTCTTTAACAGATGTTCATCATGTGTGTTTCGCGAACATTGCGGTACCAAATAAAGGCACAGAAGGCAAAATGGGATCGTCCAGAAAACAGACCTAATAAATTTCAGGGTGATGGACCATACTATATAAATGTTCCAAAAGACAGAAATCAAAGAGCGGGAAGATATCATGGAGTGAACAATCCAACTTTTGAACATCATGCTTAAGTTTTTTGCAATATTTGATCTTTTTTCTTCTTTTATCCCTAAAAAGATATAATCCTATCTCAAACAAATAAGGTTTGTACATGTATATGGATTAGATATACTTGTAATACAACAGTGTTCCCCTTCTACATCTCCTTCCCTTTACCCGGTAAACGTAAGTTATAGGTTAACAGGAATTATCCTGACTTCTGTCCATTAACAATCTTTTCAAATCTAGTTAGATGGATTTACCGTATTTTTTAATGAAAATTTACAAAGATGGTAGTAAACAAGGTGCTTATAGACGGCCGTATGGTGACATATAGTTGCTAACTTCTACGTCATTTGATCTAGGGTAAAAAAGTTGTCTCAATAGCAATCATACCACATCGCCTTATCTTATATGCGCAAAGGCATGAGTTGGCGATATAAAAAGATTTTAGATGCAAAAAAGGGATGTTGTATGATTGCCAATTAGACAACTTTCCACCGAAGACCAAATGGCAAGGGTGTGAACAACTACAGGTACCCGTACGACCTTCAAAGATGAGCAAAAGTGTTTACTCTTCTTTGTCTACATGTTGTTTCAACAAAGGTGATCATGATGCCCTGTGGTTTTGTGTTTAATTATACTAAGCTGCACTTAAAGAATGACTGTAAGAAGAATTTGTCAGTCTTATATGCAATTTCAAAATTTGAGCGAACTAGAGTCAGTTTTATATATTTAAGATCTTTGCATGCATTCTATCAAGTCAAGCACTGCACTGTTAGATGCATAATTGAGGTTTACTGTCTTTGTTTCTAGTTTTTTGTTACTGGAAACAGTAACTCGGTTATTTATGTGTTACTTATATTAATTTATGTGTTTATAGATTCTGAAAAAATATTGTGTCAATAAAATTGTATTTGCATTTTAATTGTTGTTATTAAAGAGTGATATTTTATGAGATCTTATAATTGTGGAATGGAAATAACACTTAATATTGATTGTGTGCATCCGTAGCGTGTTTCTGTATTTAACTTCTAACTAAACATTCAAAAGCCAATGGTGTATAAGACCAAAAGGGAACTGAATTTCAGTAGTTACAGATTTGCCAGAATTCACAATGTATAAACCATATATTGTTTTGAATAAACGGACACATTTTTTGCCGACGAACAGGAGAAAATTGAATCAAGAAAGCTTAGAGTGGTGGCTTTTTTATTTCGATGGTGCCAAATCTTCACACATAATTATATCGAAAAACTGCGGTTTTACTGCTGTAGTTTTCAAAATTTCTCCAACATGAATTCAACATATCAAATTTTATGAAAAGATATCATATTGTCGTAAATAAATAAAGCTATTCTAATCAATACATTTGAAGCTGAACATAATTCAATTAATATTCGTTGAGACCATTGTAAATTCCTAAGAGATTCTCTCATATCCTACTTTTCAATAGAGTTCACAAGAAAAGGAACTGTTCATGTCGGCCTACGGTCATGCATTTCAGATTGATTAAAGATTGTTTTCCTTACATTATTTCACAGAACAAACATGTTTTGAGCCACAATTACGTCCTCTTTTGCTCGATTGTGACATCAACGGATCCGACATACCACCGGATATTTACTTGCCATGCAACACGACTGGTGTCACTAGTGGATCAGAAACTGTTTACTCTTTTACAGCACGTTAGTTACCCTAGTTTTTTCCATGTTACTCGATTTTTCGTTTTCTGTATTGATTTTAATTTTTATTGGTGTTTATAAAAATAAGAAGATGTGGTATGAGTGCCAATGAGACAACTCTCCATCCAAGTCACAATCTGTTTGTCTTTTCCTTTTTTTACCAGAGTTGTTGTAACCTTTTTTTTATACACCCTTTATATCTGTAAGCCTCAAATCTATGTCCAGCCTCAAATCTATGTCTTTTCCGCAAATCTATGTCCTTTTTAATATTGCGTCATAGACGTTCCAAATTTATGTCCTTTATTGTCTCAAATCTATGTCTTTTATTGTCTCAAATCTATGTTCTATATTGTCTCAAATCTATGTCCTTTTTAATATTGCGTCATAGACGTTCCAAATTTATGTCCTTTATTGTCTCAAATCTATGTCTTTTATTGTCTCAAATCTATGTTCTATATTGTCTCAAATCTATGTCCTTTATTAACTCAAATCTATGGCTATTTTTGTCACAAATCTATGTCCTTTATCGAAATGTGGTGACGTAAGACATAGCAAGACGTAATCAAGTAAAACAATATGTGTAGTTTCATTCTTGAAGGCACATTAATAAAGTAACATGTATGCTCGTTTGGCCAATAATGTGTACACAGAACTATGTTGTGGTTGTTGAATGTTGATGTCATGGTACACAATGGATTTTAAAAAATACATAGATTCGAATCCGAAATAGTTTCACCAGAAAAAAACTTTTTTAATAAGATAGTGGCACAAAATGTCGTTGTTAAACCGGCAATAAATTATACCCTAAACATTTTTATGTGGTACCTATACATTGAGACATTGAACAAATAGTTGTATGTGTTTACAGATTACGATACAGAATAGGTTCAATTCATTGTTGAAGGCCATACATGTATCTTTAGTTGCTTGTATACAGATGTGGTTTTGTCTCAGGTTGTTTATTATAGGAATGACTGTAATATTTTTTCTGTCTATGAAGAAATAACATAAAAAATGTGGTGCACACTGAATAATTTTAAAGTGTGCACCACATTTTTTATGTTATTTCGAATAGACAGAAAAAATATTACAGTCATTTCTTATAATTTAATTGTTTTAAACCGTAGTAAACCATGAAAAAACGTTGATGACGTCACGGTCACATGACAAAATTATGTCTATGAGCTGATAAACAAAACAACGTCAGCCAATCAGAAGACGCGTTACATCCAAAATTAAATTATTAACTTATATTTCGTATTTGTTACCAAGACATAATGAGTAAAGGGAAGTAACGATAATTACTACAGAACAATTAAACACGGGATCAAGAAAAGCAAACAATTTGAAAATGTTGTAGTTTTACAATAACATGTAGATCATACAATAATTACACACGCATGTAAAATTTTGAAGCACACACATGGAGAACACATCCCAACTTAACCTTGAATTATGGGAAATGACTTAATAAAACAAAAATCCTTTAAGGCCGTACTTATTAGACTGGCATAAATTTGCGCATGGCAAAACAAACTGGAAAAAAAATTAAGAAAAGAACACAGATTTGAGGCCGTATCTTTTAAACGAACATAGATTTGCGAATGACGTCACGATTGAAAACGAATTTGAAAATAGGACACAGATTTGAGGCCGTATCTTTTTTAACGGACATAAATTAGCGATTGACGTCACGATGGGGCACAGATTTGAGAAACGGACACAGATTTGAGAAACGGACACAGATTTGAGGCCGTACACAGATCTGAGGTTTACATATCTTCTTCCCGTTTGAAGAGGCAATGATTGTATCGGAAAATCCCATTTCAAATCTATTCTAAAGTTCCATCACATAGGTTATCACTGTAATCTAGGTCATTTTACGTTTGGTGTATATCTTATCATAGATATCAACTTATAAAAATATGGCGGCTTTGTGCTTATTGCTTTCGTTGCCAGTTGCGCAGGCTTTCTTGGTAAACGATAAATTACCTCAATATAATTCTTATGGTAAAAGCTTGGTTTTGGTTGGCGGCCATCTGGATGAAAACAACACAGAAATCTATAGCAGCATCGTTAAACTTGCTGTAAGTTCTTTAAATGTTTTTGTGATAGAACTTGTCTGGATAATGACATTTGGCGATTTTACACTTTGAGAGTACAGAAGACACCTCAGTGAATGAACAAAATCCAGAGACAAAACACAAGATCGTTGTAATATTTGACCTCTAAAAATGTCTTTTGTCTTTTGTTTGTTTGTTTTCAGTGTTGTCGGGTTGCTGTCTGATTGACGTATACCGCCCACAGATATTTCATAAAACAGATAAAACACAAAATATAAATAAACTATGAGAATTAAACAATATTTCACAACAACAGAATATGTGGTTCCAAAACTTTTTTTTTTCATCAAAGAAGTCTATTGGTTTATTACTCAATAAGTCTCTGTTTCATGGACGTATACCCAACATCTCCGTTTATTTATAATTGATATGTATCTGCTCAATTCATTTTTTGTGAGTATAAGCTCTAATTATAATTACAAAAATAAATGAACATTAAAATATTCCATATATATATATATATAATGACAGCAATACGTGAACATTAGATTTACTCCATATTAAACAAGCCATCCATTGGCTAGAGCCAATAATTTCATTTTTATATGTTTGTATAAAAATAAGAAGAAGATGTGGTATGATTGACTACTCTCCACAAGAGACCAAAAGACCAAGCAGAAATACATCTAACAAAAACTCACAGAAATTAACAACTATAGGTCACCGTTCGACCTTCAACAATGAGTAAAACCCATACCGCATAGTCAGCTATAAAAGGTCCCGAAATGAATTCAAACAAGAAAACTAACGGCCTGACTAGTACAAAATAATGAACGAAAAACAAATATGATATACAACAACAAACGACAACCACTGAGTCACAGGCTCCTGACTTGGGACAGGCACATACAGAATGTGACGGGGTTAAATTAATTTCAAGGCGAGCCAACCCTTCCCCTAACCTGGGACAGTGGTGTAACAGTACAACATAAGAACAAACTATAAAAGTCAGTTGAAAAGGGCTTTACTCATCAGATCGATCCAAAGCAGAAATTCATCTAACAAAAACACAGAGTTGACGTGACGGGGTACTACATACTATTGTCCACGTATGTAAAACTATATAAATCAGCTTTTGATTTTGCACCTTTTAACATTTTAGGGAGGAGTAACGCGTGCCAAGATTGGGATCGTCACTGCGGCCTCTGCTGATCCCGCGGACAGCTGTTATTATTATTCCGACTTATTTCTGCATCGTTATAAGGCCCTTTCTGTCTATTGTATACCAATAGACGTCAATCATATTTCCAAAAATTCGAATCAGAGTATTGTGGGCAAAATAAAACAACAAACAGGATTCTTCTTTGGAGGTGGAGACCAACAGAGAATTATTGATACGTAAGACGGATATTTTTACTCTTTACAAATGTTTTTCTCCTGGTAAAAGAGATTTCAATTACTAAGTAATAGTTTTGATTTGTATAATACAATACGTTTACGGTACCAATTTAAGTGCATATAACAAGTGTTTGATATCATAGGTACATGGGGACAGAACATTTTTTTAGCCCTATTATATCTATATAATATATCAGTGACCGCTGTGGATAGTAAACTTGGAATTGATAGTAAATAGCAAATACTAGTTATTTCTAGCATATTTATGTTCATATGATACCAAACAAACAAAAAACGCGAAAATAATTGAAATTGATAGAAAACAAAAAATAACGGATTTTGGAAAAAAAGGCGGAGGGCTAAAATAAATTGTCCTGTCCCCAAGTACCTATGTTTGATACAATAACCTCCGTAGGGCCAGATTACTGAAAAAAATACACAAACCTTGTGGGAGGATCAAACAGATAAAAAACAGTCTTTTGTCAAATTAGCATGCAATTGTCATGCACCGTGTATCATTTAAATCATGCTATTATTCCCACAATTTACAATTTAGGCATTGACTACTTAACAAATTGTATTCTCGGAGACTGACAATTTACCAGAATCGGCATTAGTCGGTAATCGATTCTGCTGTATGATTTGAAAAAGAGGGGCGAAAGCTATACCTAAGCAAAAAATCAAACTCATAAGTCGAAATGGAACTTACAATGCCATGGCAAAAACGGGGTGATCACAGGTGCTCCGGAAGGGTAAGCAGATCCTTGGTAACGGAACATTTTTTTACTTTTTGTAAAAAATGATCTATGCTTTATTTGCCGAATCGCATCATTATAGGTTTTTTCTAAGTGGTCACGTAGAATCTCCAGCAATGACAGCGATCAAGGAGCAATTTGATGCTGGCGCCGTTATAGCTGGCACAAGTGCAGGTACTGCTTGCCAACCGTCAGCTATTATGATCAGAGGTCAGTTTGAAATTATTTACATCATTTCTTCCATATAGGTCTTCGATAAAGGTCGATCATGTTTTGTGCTAAAGCGTAATGAGAGACGATATAAGTCCATCAATACAATGACGTATGTGTTAGTTATACGTCCTTGATCAAGACAAGTCGTAACTAAATAGAGAGCTGGACAAGTGTACAAATTACTGTATGTTTTAAAATGATCCCCGAGTCTCATTCACTCAAGAGGATGACCAAACAATAAAAAAACAAGTGTTTAAAACAGCCAGTGACCACCAGTGACGATATTCATACCTAGGAAAGGCACATAAACATACGGTGGGTACTATCTAACTATTTTCACCAGCAAAAATTAATCATGTGAACTACGTACTACCATCGTGTGTATATGTAATCTGTATTCGGTACCCGGACAACAAAATAAGTTCCATGATGCATTGTTCCTTTAAAGTTTTCGTAATTTCTGAAAGTGTTCAAGTCCCATATCAGACGACAAAAAGTGATACAAACCTAAGTTTTCGTGTTCTGTCTTAACAGTAAATAAGTTCTGATTCTCTCCATCTCTCACTGATTAGCTAAATCAGTTCTCGTTTAAGCCTATATCTTTTATATTAAAGGTGGGATGAGTTGGGATGGTTTGCGATATGGGGCTTTTCAATCTGAAAGCAAAGATCATCCTGATAATTTGATATACAACAAAGATGGCGGAACTGGTATGTTGGATGGTTTTATCTTTGACACACATTTCAGGTTTGTTCTAACTATTGTTGGCATAACATTTTATATTTTCGATATGCAATGTATCTAGAGGAACATTTCTAGACAGTACCAATCCTCATTCGGGTTAAAGAAAATGAAGTTTCTGATAAGCATTAGTGTATTTTGTTGAAAAAAATATGTAACACGGTTGATCGAGTAGTGAATCAAAGATGCAATTTCCTATTCTTCCCCATGGCGACAAAACGATTGTTGTAGCTTGAAAAAGACAGCAATCCAACAAAAAAACTTTATCTAAATGCACATCGAGAGAACAAAGCTAGAAAATAACTTTATAGAAATACACATTACGTACTTACATAAATCATGTTCTGAATAAATAAACTTTGGATATCATGGAACTATATTTATCAATTATGGACTTTTGACGAGGTCAATACGTTATATATGGACATGTTCGGACTTGTCCTCGGTCAATTTAATCCGAACAGGTCCATATCTAACGTATTGACCTCGTCAAAAGTCCATAATTGTTAAATACCCTCCGAATCACGTGATCGTTATAACCAATGAAAAAAGAAGAACGCTACACCTTATGTAATTATACGTAAACAATGCATTACTCTTGAAAATTATATCTACAATCACTATAGGAAAGACCTTACTGTATTATTTCTTCTGGTTATTATTCTTTTTTCTGCCAAACTTTAACGACATTTCCCATAAAAAGTACGCGACATGTTGAAATGATATTAGGTATCAAGTATCGGTTGACCAAAAGCTAGCTTGTGGTTATAGCACCACGTCGTAACATTTCCTTTATCAATAGCGGTGTTCTCCCCTAACACCGAAAACTATGTTATCATTCAAACACAGTAACCATAGTAGGTAGAAAAAAAACTGAAGATTGGAATTTGTTCAGGACCAAACCCTGGTTCTTCGTTACATTTGGATCAACAAGATTCAACGACTCATTGGTAAGGTTATGCCCTTTGAAAATTAACCGATGTCAGTTGGCCACTTAAACTCAGAAACCGTAAGTCGTAGCCTAGGATCTTCACCAATGATCATCAATTCATGTGGCCTTAAAAATACCACAAGGTCAAATTGTTACGTTGACCTTGACCTTTGACCTTAAACCTTGTTGGGTCTTTTGTAATGATATCATGGACTAATGACCTTGACAAAGGTCATAAGGTAAAAAATCAAGGTCATTTCCCAAATTGCAAATTATATGTGTTTTTTACCATATTTTGAGGGTTTTATGTGTGTTTTGGAGCTTTTCAATGCATTCTACGCCTATTTAAGCATATATATTACATTACGAAAAGGAAAGACCTCTCAATTGTTCACCAACAATTGACATTTTAATGTTTCCTTTTTTTATTCCTTAAATTTTAGTCAGCGTGGACGAGAAGGTCGTCTCATCAGGTTGTTGTCAGACACCCGTAGTTTAAAGCATGGTGTAGCCTGGGGTATTGGTGTGGATGAAAATACTGCACTCGTAATAATGCATGCTGGAACTATTCAAGCTAAAGGAGAGGTAAAGAAGTTACATTTATTAGTATGGATATCGATTCTATATAGCATTTTTAGATAACATGAAAACATTTTACAAAACTATGAATAAAAAAGTGTCATCTTAAACATTTCAACAATGAACATTGGAAGCATGCAATATTGTGTGAAGCGCATATAATGACTAATCTCGCAATCCCTTTTACGTTTTATTGTGTTGTTAAGGTTTCTCTCTTATTAACGTTTACCCAATATATCTAGGTTTGCTTTAAATTTTAACATTAAGCCTTTATAAAAAATTATTCTAATGATTTAAATGATAACGTCTGACAATAAAAATATACACACACATATATATATATATATCAAAACGAAATTAATGAATTATTTTATCGATTGTGATTGGTATTTTGAAAATCGTTACCTATGTTTGTCTTACTATCTACTCAGATTATAGGGGAGAATGGTGTATTTGTTGCAGACGTTTCTAGATCCCATATAGACACCAGCACCAAATATTTCAACATTGACAATGTAATGGTACATTTTCTCACTCACGGAGATAAAATGTTCCTTCAAAATAAAACCATCAAGTTTTCCCCGACCAAGACCCGAATGAAGGGTCATGAAAATTACGATCATGCGTTAACAACACATAATATATTTGGCGGGAACAGACGTCACCCGACACAGAAGTCTGAATTTACAAGAGTCGCTACCAGTATCTTCGATTCTCGATTGGAAACAAGTAGTTATGGTGATACTTATGAAAATAATCCAAGATTCAGTGTTACAATGTCACGAGCAGTGGCTGGAGCGGAGGGATTTGTCGAAAGAAAACATAGTTTTCACACAGACATTACGTCTTACACCAATCTTTATGTAGAATTAAACTCTGTGACATAGCGTTAGTCTGTTTAATAAACACTGCAGAGCTCTGTTTTTTTTTATTTGTGTGCGTTAAAGGAGAAGGTCCATTTGTTATGTATACTGTAGTATTTGCGTTATATTATGAGGTAGGGTGTCGATAATATATTTTTTTCATCTTGGTTTAGAAATGCTTGGTATTACTATTATAGATTTTATTCGTACTAAAAAGTGTTTATGATCATTAACTCTCACGTTCTGAAATAAGCAGAGAAATTGTCACTAAGAAATCTTTTAAAAACATCTATATATAAAATTGATGTATAAATGTTTATCAGTCCTACACATTGCTTTTAAAGACAGTAATTTGGTTTCATGTAAATACATTGCTGGAAATCTGAAACCAAAATGAGCTAATTTGTATTTAACGCATAGTTCCAATTTACACGAAATCTTGCCAATGGTTTTTCGAATGTTGTCTCTATCATATTTCGAGATTAGTGTTCAAAATATGCCCATATCCATCAAAATTGCAGTGTTTGCCATCTGTAAGCATTTTTGTTAGTTCACCTGGCCCAAAGGGTCAATCAAATCAGCCTTTTTCATTTGTCGTCCGTCAAGTTTTACAAAAATCTTCCCCTCTGAAACTACTGGGCCAACTTTAACCAAACATGGTGACAATCATCATTAGGGTATCTAGTTTAAAAAAAATAGTTCGATGAACCCGCCTGCCAACCAACATGGCTGACATCGCTAATAATAAATCATTGGGGTATAGTGCAAGTTTTGTATATTATCTTGAAAACCGCTATAGATAGAGAAAAACTGACAAAGGAAAAAAATCCGTAGAGCTACATATTGTCAATTTATATCAAAACTGCCCTTGAATGACGAATTTTACCATTTTATTTTTCATTGTTGTCTATTACCTTCAAAGCTATGATAGATTCAAAAAACTTAAATTATGCAAAAATGATCAGCAACACAAGATCTACAAATAAGTCAAAGTGTCGAATTCGTCAGTTGACTTCTGATTTGAGTTATTGCCCTTTTATGAAGATTTAATCATTTTTGGCATGTTTGCCTATTATCTTGAAAACTATAATAAATAGATAAAAACTTTAAAAGCAAACATAATCAGCAAGATAAGATCTACAAATATGTTAATATTGCTGAAATCGATAGATGACTCCTTGTATGATTGTTTTGAATATTATTATAAAAAAGCAAAAATATCAACAAGATCTGCAAATAGGTCAGCATACTAGTAGATGAAATTGACATTTGTCTTCTTATAGGAGTTATTGCCCTTAAATGACGATTTGTTTTACCCTTTTTGTGTTTTAAGCAAAAACTATGGAAGATAAAGATAAATTAAATAGAAAAAATGATCAGCAATACAAAATCAACAAACGAGAGATTTCAGTCATTTCTAATCTACAATGTTGGAGAGTGTTCATTGTTGAAGATGAACACAGACCTAAATGAGCGACACAGGCTCTTAAGAGTCTCTACGGTTTGCAACTTATTTCATATATATGTCAGATCATCAAATAAAATATTTGGTTGATTCTTCTCTCTCTTATCTATTTGTTGTGTTTTTCTCTCAAATTGTTGTGAACAAGCTTCTTCTTCTTTGAAAGTTTAGGAAGCGTCTTTCCTGGTGTTTTGAACCTTTGACCTACTAATCACGTGTCGCTTGTTTTTTTAGTTGTGAGCTGGTTTTGGTCATTGGTATGTTTGCTAAGTAAAACTTTACAGATTATTGAGACATTTTGAACAAGCAGTGAATGAAATCTAAATTAGGTGGTAACATATATGCAGTCCGAATAAGTAACTAATAATAATTATAATGTATATTTAAAGGCAATATATGCAAATACATAATAAGATATAGAAACTTAGCTAAATACAACCTTAAGATATAGTAATGGTTGTGACTTTAGGTACAACTTATGCCTTAACCCAAGGATGACCCATGAAAGCAAAAAACTTATTTCCAACCGGGTCCTTCTGGGAATATTATATGTTGGTATAATAGTCCCAGGGTCCTTATAGTGTGCATAATAAAAAAAAAATATTCTCATTCAATTTTATAGCAATAAAAAGTATTTATGAATCTCAGCTTAAAACAGTCGTATAAAAAAAAACCAATCGAATAAAATATAAAAGCTGCATCTGACATTGACCTGAGATTACTCATTAGGTTTATCTTTACTTTCAAACTGAAACTTTATTTTTGAATTCACATGATACCTTTTACATGATCTGGCAAAACATTCCAGGTTTTTAATACCACTGAAAAAGAAAGAAGATTCTATACCTTTTACATTTGGAACCTAAAAATTATAAGCAGTTGCTCTAGTATTCCTATTGGTGGAAGTTCTTGAAAACCCATGAGTTTAAGAAAGTAATTTATTAAACAAAATTAACCAACGGTTTATTATGTTGTCGTTTATTAAAAAGCTATCTTAGTTTGCTACGTGGGTGCAACAATTCTTACATTTTCTGTGTATTCAAAAATTTTATTAATAAATTAATTTCTTTGATTATTTAATTGGGATTGCACAATATTATAATATGTAAAATTATGACAACTCAAAAACTATCCACGCCGAAAACATCAAAGAACTTTTTGATTGATCAAAGCTCATCTTTGATCAGAGTGTTAAAGACATTGTTAATTAATAATGAAACCATTAAAACAACTCAAAAGGTGTTAAATAATTTCTCAGAGTGGCTTCTAGGAGGAGGTGCATAACGGTATCTTGTAAAAACAAATTGAAAGTAATTGACCAATAGCAAATTGTTTTATTCAGAAAAAGTGAAAAATATTTAATAAATCTGCATTTTTTCAAAATTTGAACATATTAGTTGGAAGCCATTCGGACTGAAAGCAATTGTTACTCAAAAACGTTTCTGTTACAAACAAATTTCTCAGATCATATAGGTAAGTTGTCTTTTTTATTTTTCTTTCTTACACTAATGCAGACTGTTGTGAAATAGCTATTCTTAAAAAATAACTAAAATAAAATATATTGAAATTTATTTACATACCTAAGTTGTTGATGACTGTTAGTTTGGGAGTGATACATATGCTTTTATAGCGAAAGTAAATAATGTCTTATAAATAATGTATCAGCAATTTATTAAACCTGTTAACATTTTACTGACAGCCCTTATAACAATGATAATGGTGTAATAACTCAAAATTTGTTTGCTGATTATTTAAAAAAATGGGAATTTTGATACAATCAAGGACTTATATTTGTTAGTTATACGTCCTAGATACAATGTATTACACTTTTTTAATTCAAGTTTTATATGGATAATATCATTTTGGAATAAAAACCACATATGGAAGCTCGACTACATACCAAATTTGATCTCGGAGGATGCGTGTTTAAAATGTCTACAATTTAATTCGGTTTCGTTTAAACTTATAACTCCATCGAAAACTCAAAAACATCTTATGGTAAGTATATTTGTATAGGCTTTCTTGAAATACATATTGGTTGTAATTTATTCTATTTGTTGTTTTTTTTTCAGATATGGAACTACCATACATGCCATTTTATTACCCGACATTTCCAGTCCAAGAACAAAGGTATGTGCATTAAAATACTTGGTACTGATCTAACAAACATCAACAAATACAAATTAAAATGTATGAACAAATCAAAAAGACCGTTCTGTGTGATAATCGGTGTCATATAAGAGTCGTTATACATGTATGCTATCTGTTTTGACTAAATTTCGCAAAATATAAAGAAAAAAAAACATTGATAATGTATAAGTTCCACAATTGCCTTTTAGTAACCTTAATGTGAACATTTTTTTTGTTCACCGTTGACTGAAACAAATGTGAATGGTATACGTCAATAAGAAAGCAATCTTACGACAAAAATAACCAAAAGACATCTAAAGGGCAACATACATATTCAACATTAAGCACGTGTCTATACAATACGTCAAGATCTAAATTGTTTAAGTCTACAAATGCCGTCGATAAACTTGGTGATGTGAAATAAGTTGAATTTATACCAACAATATTTTTAACTTGACAAATCATGACATTTATCAATTTGTCTAAATTTCATAAACATGCATGCGTTGTAACATTTATTTTATCCATTTTCAGACCAGCAGACATGTCCTCCCAGTATCTGCATCCAAGTGGAATGTTCTTTCCGTCACCAACCTACATACCATACGTTCAACCTACAATACTACCAAAGCCATTGACAGACGACAACAAACCACTATCATACAACAAGAATGAACTCAGGTCATCCATCTTTAGTCAGATTCTTGGTACCTTTCCAGAGCTCAGCAACATGATTGGCAACAACCAACAACAGAAACCACAACTCAGCTCTTGTTTGTACGATTCTAAAGCTATTAATAGTTACTCCGAACGTCAACCATACGAGACCAACATCGCTTCTGATATCATGCAAGAAGAATTTGACACCAGGTGTCCTTCATCATTGCAGCAACCCGTCTCTACACTTCATAACCCAGAACAGTCTCCATTGCAATGTTCATCTACACCAGTTGCTTATGACCGTGTGTCCGACTTACTGGAGCAAGCCTTGTCGTCTGCAGCTACACGTTCCAAGTCAACACAGAAACCAAAAGAGCCTATTGTATGTACCTACTGCAACAAGATTTTCAGCTCGAAACCAAACTTGAAAGTTCACCTTCAGTCTCACCAGGAGAACAAGCGTCCACATCAGTGCAATTACTGCGGAAAGCGTTTTACCCAGAAGTCAACACTCCGTACACACGTCCGTATCCATACTGGGGAGAAGCCATACAGTTGTACCTACTGTCCGAAAAGTTTTGCAGACTTCTCAACTTTCACCAAGCATTCCAGAATCCACACCGGTGAGCGTCCGTACGTCTGTTCGTTCTGTGGTAAATCCTTTGCACAGTCTGGTAACATGCTTCGTCACAAGGCATCGCACGGCTAGACTTTCATTCCTCTGATATTATTCGCTATACAGTGGCAATAAAAACTCATAAATATTGACAAT